ATTCTAGAGGAAACAAAGGCTTCCACAGCCTCTGTCCAACAAGTTACGATGCCAACTGAGGAAAAAAAAAAATAAAAATCAGCCCCAGAGTGGAGGATGCTGGCAGCGCTGGTCCAGCCCCAGCGCACAGCTTCTGCTGCGGGGAAGCGGGAGAAAAGGGGCAAGTTCCTCCTCTGCAGGCAGCTGCTCCTTCGTTCACCTCTTCACCGACCCCCTGCACTGCTGCGGGCAGGGCACAGGGTGCTAAAGCAGCAAATAAAATAACTAGAAGAAGTTAAGTATCGGCTCAGCGCCCATGTCAGGAAGTCACGCTCACTAACTAACACGTTTGTTAAGAGGTGACCCTGCAGGTGAACAAAAAAAATAAATAAAAATCTTGAGAGATAAAAGATGAGGCTGAAGCATCACCATTACAGATCAGGGAAAAACTGGGAGAGAGCATCTGCAGAACGCCAAGGCAGGTGGGCTGGGGAGGATGGGGGAGAGAAGAGACCAAAGCAAGCAATGACATTATAAGGTAAGTGTGGAGGTATTCAGCCCAGAAAATGAAGTGAGATAAAGAAAAGGAGGAGGAATAAGCATCCAAAGCAAAGCTTGAAGGCCCATGGCAGTATTATTGCGCTATACACATGCTACTTAGTGTCAGGAATAGGAGGACACCGTGAGCAACTCATCCTTCGCTGCTCCATAGGGAAGAGGAGATGAAACGCTTTTACTTTGAACCGAAGGTGAAAAGCATTCAAATTCCATAGGAAGCTGCCAGGCTACCTAATGAGCAGGTTTGAAGGGACTCAGAGGAAACAGCATCAGAGAAGGATGTTCATCACCCTGGGCAGGCCACACAAATTAAGAGAAAGTAGAGCTGTGAATTACAATGAACAGAGACTAAATAGCCGCCTGTGTTGGATTAAAGGATTTAAATTGTCAGCTTGATGTATAATGAATGTGAAAACCCAGCACTTAATTAAATGGCACATGATAGAATAACTTTGTTATGCTTTAAACTGCTTAAGCCATCAAAGTATTCCTTCTATTTCGCAATTGTTTAGCAGTATCTCTCTCCCTGGTGAGATCCACTAAGATATTGGTCATCTACCCTGTGCTCAGCTCTGGCAATATATGCAACTTTTTTTTCCTCTTTTTTCTTTTTTTTTTTTTCCCCTGTAATTTGAGTTTTCAACCATGGCTAGTGAATTTCTAGCAATGGAATCACTGAACCCTGCCAAGACACAATGATGGGCTACCAGGTGCTCTAAGGATCCTTAGAAGCTAGGACAGGGCTTCTGAATCCCTTTTTAAGCACAGAAGGACTTAAAGGCTAAATAAAGTGGACCAAGAGGACTGCTCCATCCTACAAGGCTTGATACGAAGAACCATGACCACACAGTTCTCCAGCAAATTCATCTTTTTTTAAAATTTTTTCTTATCCCATTCAATTTATCACATCCTTTTTACATTTCTTGAGCCTCCACCACCTCATGTGTTGGTCATTTGAAAGGAAAGCTTCCTTAACCCCTGTGTCCTTGTGCACACAGGACGGTCGGGAAGAGCCCGAGATCGGAAGGACCCTCCCTTTGGCACAGACACAACAAGGACACGGGTTCTGGAGATGACCCAGTGTCCCACGGGGGAACGTGTGCACTCAGGTCAGAAATGTGTTACAAGCACAATCGAAAACTGAAAGGCTAAAAGAAAAAAATACTTACAGCTACTGCTATTCTTCCCAGTACGTGTTCCGGAATTTTTCTATAAACATCCAAAGAACCCCCTGCAGGGACAAACAAAACGTGCTTAGGTCACACGAAATGAAACACTGCCCCAGATTTGAAGTCCCAAGGGTTTTCGAGGCCTTGGTTATTAATAAAACCACCATCAATGATATAACAATAACTGTGTCAGAAATAACTGACCTTAAAAATCTACCAAATTCTGAATAAACACACGAAACAGTACTCAGGTCTCTTTTCACCCATATTAATTATTTTTTCTTGCACCATTAACACTCAAAGTCCTGTTAGAAAACTTCCCAGTCACAGGCCAGAACATCAAAATTGGAGAACTGAAGACCACCAGGCTTGGAGTAACTTCTCGGGAATAACGAAGTCATCCCAAAAAACCAACAATGGACTTCAAAGCCCAAAGTGTCCCAACCCTTATCCCCAAAACCTGGTGCTACTGTGACACGGCATTGATACAATGCTTATGTACACAGAATCCCAGAATGGTTTGGGTTGGAAAGGACCTTAAAGATCATCAAGTTCCAACCCCCCTGCCATGGGCAGGGACACCTCCCACCAGCCCAGGTTGCCCAAAGCCTCATCCAGCCTGGCTCTGAACCCCTCCAGGGATGGGGCATCCACAGCTTCTCTGGGAAACCTGTTCCTGATGATCAAACCAGTGGACGTTTGGTTGTCATGATGGCCGAAAACGAAAGAGAAGGAGCTCCTGGGCAAGCAAGTAAGTTTTGCCAGTAAAGTCCAGCATGGGACACAGCGTGCTATCTAGAATAACCCTGTCCAGCCAGCATCATACACTCATGGGGAAAGTGAGAAGCCTCTAACGTCCCTCTAATGGCACTATGGACATTCCCAAGGGATGGGAAGGATTCTTTCCCTTCTCTTCTGCAAAGGAGATTCCCCATCAATCCACTGTTCAAAATGGAAAACAAATTATTGGGTGAGAAAGGAAAATTAAAACTGAGAATTAAAAATATCCAAATAGAATGCAAACCTTTTTCCCCCAAACCCCAAAACACTAAACAAATTACAGGCAAAGCTTGCTAGACCGTGTTGTCTTCTGGAAGGCTGGGGGCTCTCAGAAGGGTTCAGCACTGATCTAACTCTGCTCTCGGTGTAGCATAAAGATTTTACGGTGACACCAGTGGGAAAAGAGCTTGACCAATCCTCAGCAATCAAGCAAACTACACCTTGCACTTCGCTTATGGTTCAGTTTTTACAAGTAAAACTCATTTATTCTGAAACGCTGCAATCCTAAGAAGTCACAAGGTCCTCACTCCAGTCTTCAGCCCTTATCACGCAATAGAATAGTTCTTATTGATATTGTACTTCTGACTCTAACGATCGGGGTTGTGCGGTGGCTGTTGGTGGTTTTTTCCCCTCGTTTTCCTCATCGTCCCTACTGTCAGAAATACTGAATGTGTTTATCTTCACTAATGCAGCTCTGACTCCAGGTCATTGAAGCTACTATTCATTCATCACGTTTAACCTTTCCACTTATATTGTTCACATTGTCTGTGGATTACAATGAATCTCAGTTTTAAGAGTAAATGTAAGTACTATTTAATGGAAATAAGAGGATGTAGCATCACAGATACCCCTGCTTATAGGCAAGCATACGGCAAGTGGTTTCTGTTAATGCTTGGAACATATCCTTAACTTTTGGCCAAAAAAGCCCTATTTTCATCCACCAAACTGCTACGTCTCGCTATTCCAGATGCCACTAAAGGTACTGCTGTTTGAAAAATGAAGGAAAGTATCTTTTTGCAAACCATTGGGGAAATCTGCCATTTTTCTATGGGGGAAAAACTCTGCAGTGGGCACCATTTCCAAATCCAAATAACCTCAGCTCTCGTATCCATGTGTAGACATCTAGGTACAGTCCAATAACCTGCACCTTCTAAGGGGAATTTAGCGGGTGTTCAGCAGTTTCGAGGAAAAGAGGCGACAACATAAGTAGAAGGCAAGAGTGCATTTCACCATCGTTATTTAGAACATTATCTTTATCAGAAATATAAAAGGGCAGTTGAACATCAGTGTTTTGGAATTTGCAAACTGGGAGTTAACTTGGCTTTTCCCTGCTGGCAGGTGCCAGGAAAGCACCGAGATGGTTCTATACATCACCTTGTTCCTGTGTCTACCCCTAAGTCATGAGGATCCCAGAAGGGGCAGATCCAGCTGTATCTAGCTAATGCAGAAAGGAAACACCTACGGTTTGTAATATGGTACCACTGGGCAAACAGAGTCACGGGACATGGATTCAGGAAATACAGTCAAAAAGGGCTAAAAAACTGCCAAGGTTAAAGCTGTTCACCTGCAGGGTGAGAAAGGATTTTTTTCTTATCTTCACCTGCAACCTTATGCACCAAAATTAAAGGTCTGGGGGAAAAAAATGGCAAGGTCCCTTTATTTGCATTTTGTTCTTCCTTTAAATGATTGCTGTTGCCTCCTGCCAGAAGGAGCGCACACCACGAGGCGGACCAGAGGTCATCTCCGGCATAATTCCAAGTAATTTGTGAATGGTCAGGAAACGCGATCCTTGCGCAACACCATGATGCATACCCTACAGGATGAAATATTTGCAAACAAGAATTCAGAACTGCAAGCATTTGTGTCCATCATTAAAAAAAAAAAAAAAATCTCTGAATTAGTAGGAGCATGCATACTCTGTGCTTTTGGCAGGAGCAGATGCTGCCTTGCTGCATGGGACCGCTGCTCAGCACAGGCTGGCAAGTCTGGGTGCGACTGCAAGGGCAGAACAGGGAAGTGGCTCCATCACAAAGCATGAGAACAGCCAAGAATTCAACTTGTGGGCTTCGGTGAATAAATATAATACTTCCTCATCACATATAGAATATCTGTGAGAATACTCATACTTGGAAATGAGGCACAGTGATCACTGGGACGGAGGCAGTGTAAAAAGAGAGAAATAACAGTAATAAGAGAGTGTTTTAACAGGGAGAAAACAAAATGCAGCACCAAACCCTAACGGGCTTTATCCGTGGTGCCGATCAGAAAGAAAAAAGCTCCTCAGCAATGTTTAACGGTACACGTTTGGCTTTGGGAGTTTTTTTCTCTGGCGGAAAGCCTTTCCTCAAATTGTTTGCAAGATCCATCCTTTATATCCAGCTTCACTGAACCTTTGTGAAAAACCCCGATAGGGCACCAAATGCTGGCTGACAGGAAAATCCTGGGGAGAGAGCAGACTGTTGCTGGTAGCAAGAAGGTGATGCTGAAAGCCGAACGCTGCAAAGGGGTTCTGGCGCCTGAGACCCCATCTGCTGGGAGACGCGCTCTCAGAACCGATACCGAGGGCAGCAAGGGTCAGAAATTGCTGTCATCAGAATACTTTCCTTGTCTTTTCTCCAAGAATGCTGCTCAGGACAGGGTTTCAAAGCAAAGCACCAACCCATCTCCATAACAACTGCAGCACCAGGCTGCGGGGAGGGGGATGCTGTTGGGCTGAAGCTTCACATCGGGAGGAACGAGAGTAACGCTCAAAAGGAAACTCAGCCCGGGACTGCTAAACAGCTGCGTTAGAAAATAACTCCTTGTCTCGCAATTAAGAGACGATTTCCACTGAAAACACATAGGACATTGGGTTAATAGTTGTCTTTAAAAGAAAATCTGTTTTGGCTATCAAAACAGGAGAAGTGAGGAACAGCTGTTTAGTCGGCGAGGACAGATTGTACGGAAGACTCCAATATCAAACCACAAATTAAGCTAGCATTTATTTCTGTTCTATTTACATTTTCAATAAAAGTAAACGAAGTTACACTCAGGGAAAATAACAGCACACCACGGAGAGCCTAACACAATCCCCATACTGACCTGCTTTTTTAAAAACTACCTGCAAAGTTATTAATAATTGACTTTTTCAAGTCATACTACCACATTTTGCTCCATTCTGAAAAGCCGTCTTCAAAGGATTCTCCCGTTTACAAGCTGAGCAATCAAAGCACACGAGATGCACAACTCACCATCCATGAACTCTGTGCACAAGGAAATTCTGTTTTCTACAAAAAAAGCCCCGTAAAATCCTATGATATACGATGAGTCACACTGGAAAAAAAGAAAGGAAAAAGCCTGTTTGAAAATTTGCTGGAAGAAGATGATAAGCAAGAATAATGAAAATGGGGAAAAAAAAAATCCGTATACCTTATAAAGAATTTCTAACTCCGACATTATCTGCTTCTGGAGCTCCAGTGTTATATCTAAGGGAATGACCTAAAATACAAACAACAGACAAATGATGAGAAAAAGTGAATGATTCAAAATAAAAACCAGAAGACCCATCTGTTAATTATCCTTCTGTGAGAAAAGGAAAGAGCAATAGGTGGAAAGAATATTTTAACAGAGCGACGAGCAAAGGAATGAAATGAAAATTTTAAAAAGTCAGTTACAAGTAAACTAAGTTTTCCAGCCAATTTTATCCCAGAAATGCCATAAGGTTTGCAGTTTAACCAAGAGACGTGTTAGAACCTGAACACGAGCCTCGCGGGGAATGTAAAGAGCAGGAGAGGGGATCTGGGGGTGGGTAAACTCCGAGCTGCTGCTTATTCACCCAAAGTGCTAAACACCTCGGTGGTGCCCTAAAGGAGCCTCTCCTGCCACCGCTCTTACGCTTCCAGGTTCTTTAATATTTGCGCCTCTTTTTCATACAAATTCCAAACATTAGACGAAACACGGAAAGCTCAAACCAGCCGCTCGCCGTCACGTCTGTCCGCTGGGATGCGGCGAATGGAGTCACCCGCTTTCAGGATTTTCAAGACAGAACCTCTTAAGGATGCTGGTTCCACCAGAACCAGTGGTCAAAGTCAATTTTCACAAATAATTCTGCGCCATGATTATTTGAAGAGTTGCACACTTAAATAAAAGCACCGAGCAAACCCAACTGGGCTCCAAACGCGTTGAGCCTGGCCCAGCCTGCCGTCACACAATATTTCGCAGTTTAATACTTTAAGCTAAAGGGAAACAAAAATCTCGTCAATTTGCAGAATTAGCAGAATAGATATTACAGGCTGCGTACACTGCTGATGAAACAAAACACAGAGAGACCATTTCGAAACACATGCATTTTACAGCACCCAAATCCGTCTAAAAGAAAAAAACCGATAGCCTGTTTCTATCAAGAGTTTGCTTCGGGGTTATTTATAAAAGCTGTCACGAAACGAAATTGTAAGTGTAATACAGGGCTGCCAAGAAACGTTTAACACACTTGTCCAGATCAATAATCATTTGCCAACAATATTCACTTACATTTTTCCGGCGTGAGAAACTTAAAATAATTCGCTGGAATAGCATCAGTTTTACCCACTGAATATTAACAGAATTTAATCTTGTCAAGAGCCTACAATTAATTTTTCTCTTCCTAAATTCTACTCACAGGGAGAGATTTCTCTGCCTCGTTCACCAGGATGGCTTCACCGACCCGAACGATGACTAGTTAGCGTGATCAGCGTCAAATACAGCCCTGACATCCCATCAACCAAGACCTGGCGTGAAGCGAGGTCTCCGCCTGATTTGCATTAACGATAATTACACACAGCCGCTGCATCCTAATGGCGAGGGCAACCCGGCACAGCAGAGCCACCCTCGTTACAGCTGTTCGGGATGGACAGAAATGTACTGCGATGGTATGGCAAGCCTCTATTGCCGCAAAATAAATTAGGAGAGACGGGTGTAACACTCGTATAGAAGTGTTTTCTTCCATCTCAACACGCATGGCTTGTGGGACGCAGGAGAGACCCATCTGATGTCAATGTTGGAGGAACCTTATGTTATTCATGATGTGGAAATGTGGGACAAAAGGAGGAAAAAAAAAATAATCTATATAGCACTGCCTTAGTCTGCATTTGTAACCTCCATGGTCACATTCCTCTTGTACAAAACTTCCAACCCTACCCAGAAAATGGAGTTTGCATGGGTGAAACAACTTTTAAGAAGATGTAAGCTGACAGTGTTAAGCATGGGCTGGAACAGTGTTAAAGCAAGAAAAAAAAAACCAAACCACAACCCCAAAAAGCTCCTTAAACCCATTGCTACCAAGGAAAAAGCTGTGAATAAGGATTTGGCTGCAGCTTCCAGAGCTGCAACACATGTGAACAAATGAGATGTAACATTAAAAAATAAACTTTTCCAAAATAGTACCTTTGGAAAGAACTTTACAGAAAACAAAACAAAATAAAACAAAAACCCCAAACAAAACAAACAACTGTGATTTTCTCAGAATTATCGAGAAGGGAATTCCTCAGGCGTGGAATAACACGCGATGAGTTCCCACCAGACCGTTCACACCTGCAGGAGCAGAATTGCTGAACACGTTTGCACCAGAAGGCACCACCCAAAGGCGCAGGAGCAGAGGAGCTGGGCAGGATGCTGCTGCCCAGCGGTCCCCAGCCACGGGGACACCGAGCCCCCAGGATGCGGATGGAGAGGATGGGTCCAGAGGTGGGGCCGAGGCAACCGGGGCTGGCTGGGGAGGATGCCCAGAGCCTCCAGCGCCTGTCCCGAATCCAAAACCAGACAAAACAGTGCCTCGCAGGGAGAGCTGGAGAAGGATACTGGAGAAGGGGGGCATCTTAAAAATTTCAGTGACACAGCAGCCCTCTGATATCCAGCAAGGGGCTCCAGGCACTCCTGAGCATCCTCCTTATCAAGCTCCTGCCTAAAACAGAGCGATCTTGGAATCACGCAGCATGCCTGTAACGTACATGAACTCAACACAGCTGATGTTTCAAGAGCAAAGGGTTAATTTTCACAACAGGAATACCTGAGCGTATTTCCTCTGCTCCCCACTACACCTCCAGGACAAATAAGGATGAGTTGTCAAGTTAAATACAAGCAGTCAAGTGACTGAATTATAATTTACTCTGTGCTCAATTTAAATTAGTGCGAGGCTATTAAAATATACAGTATAAATACGGCAATTCATCACAAGCTGTCATGGATGACTTCATCTATTTGCTGGAGTGGCATACATTCCACTAAAGGGAACGAGAGCAAAATCACAGGTCAAATTAAGCCGCTATTCTGTTTTAATTCACTTATTTAATCTGTGGCGACATAATTGTCTTTTACAGTATGTACAACTCAAAGGAAATTTGGGAGTATTATAGGCAGTATACAAATGATTAATCAAATGGTCCATTTAAATGCTCGCTTAAGAGCAGGAGAAACTCAAAGAATGGCAAATGGGCCACTGCGCGCTCCAATTTTTCATTTGGATTTTTCCCTCTAATCAGAAAAAAAAAAGTTACGATAGAAAAATCTATGAAGCCCTCCGCACATTTTCTAGTTGTAAAGTTTACATAAAATATGTAAAGACAGAACTTAAGGTCTATAACACAGGTATCACTATTGGTTTGTTTTCCTGTTCACTATATTTTGCAAGATAATCTATCTGCCGAAAAGTATTTTCATCAAAAGAATGTTCTGTTGTCCTATCAAATCTGTATATTATAATAAAAAAAATGCAAAAAAAATTGCAGAACTCTGCTTTCACTGATCCACCCCGTGACGTCCCTTTTGCCAAAACACCAGATTGCATCTTATTTAAAACTACGATAATACCCACGTGTTGATGCAAGATTTCTTCTGAAATAATTCTGAAAAAAATATAATTGCGAGGGCCAGGACCACCACGAGCAGTACCTCCAGGAGAACCCAGCCGCCCACATCTCCAGGATGCTCATTAGCCACCAGGACCAAGCAAACCCTTGGACTCCAAGGGAAGCACGGAGGTGAAACTGCGGGGGGAAAAGGCTTTTTTTTTGCCACGGGGAGGTGATTTCAATTAACCTTGCAAAGGGTGAACTCATTTCCCCTCCTGCCTGTGGGATTTTTCTCCTGCTCCACCTCTCCGGGCAGCTTCCGAGGGCACCCACGGCCCCACGGGGCAGGCGGCGGAGCGGCAATGCCACTTGAAGAAGATGATGTTCTCTGCAGAGCTTGCCAAAGATTATCCGTGGGTACCAGGGGAAAGAGCATCCTCACACAAGCCCAGCATTTAGGGGAAGAGTTTTTTGAGTTCCATACTGAAAGTTGTAATAAAACATATGTTTGATTATTAAATTTTCTGGACTTTTGTGCTTTTTCTGTATTTTTTTTCCTGTCTTACTCTAACCGCTCCCAAGAGGTTTAGGAACGATGGATACCACCTGAAAGAACTTGTGACTTTTTCAAGTGAGATTTGTATGCCGTGTAATTAGAAGTGATGGGGATGTTATCTCAATTTCCATATTTTCCACGTGTAGAAAATAATTTCAAATCCAGCGCTAAATACTTGATTTTCTTCAATTCATTAGAAAGTCAAAAGCACTTTTATCAGTGGAGTGGATGGATTTATGTGATCCTCAGGAAAGCTGAAACATGGGCAGAATCTCCGGGTAGTAAATGAGATCTGATGGGAACCACGAGACAACCTGAGCCCCAATCTGAAAGTTACCCATATATTTAAATATTTCCTGGTCAATATAAATGCTTCACTTGAAGCCTCAGTGTAATTTTACATCTTTAAATTCCATTTAACACCAATTCTGTTTGCAGCAACCAGCTCCCATCGCTCCTCTTGCCCTCCTCTCCTACCCCCACATTGTTTAACTCGGTTACACCACTGTTTGATGATTAAAGACAGAAAGAAAAAAAATAAATGAGACAAAAAGCCCATTTTACAGTTTTCTAAGTAATTATTCCATAAATCATATTTCTAAAATATATGTCTTTTTTAGATCCCAACCGGTTAATTGGAATTGTGTGAAGGCAACAATTAATGTTTTCCAAAAGCCTCTACTGCTCTGAGTTCGAACAAAATCACACAATTAAAAAAAAAAAGTTTGCTATATTAAAAAAAAGGAAATATTTCAATTTTTTTACAGATTAACTGTATTAATAATTTAATTTTCGAACAAAATCACACAATTAAAAAAAAAAGTTTGCTATATTAAAAAAAGGAAATATTTCAATATTTTTTACAGATTAACTGTATTAATAATCTAATTGACAAATTTAATCAAATTTAACAAATTGCATACGCGAGTTGGCATACTGCTGTCGGAGTTGCACTATTGGTTTACCCCAGCTTTAAGTGAACTTTCAGACAAGACTGGTATTTACCTGACCACATAACACCACGGTACAGAGCTTCCCCGCAAAGAATACTAGCAAAAAAAAAAAAAAAAAAAAGACAAATCGGTTGGATTAAAAAAAAACAACAATTGGACGCAGGGGAAAACCTTATTTTTTATATTTTGTTAAAATAACCAAATTCGTTAAAATCACAAAATCTCCTAGGAAAACAGAATACGATCCCAAAGAAAACAGGGCAATTCTCTTTATTTAAAAACGAGGTTGCAGAGACCACTCGGAGAAGATGCCCTCGGGGACAGTTTGGCACCAGCTGACATCCTGCGACCTCTCCATCCCCGCTCCTGTAGCGCCAGGGTCCAGGGCGGGGAGGCACAAACCACAACTGCACTGGGACGTATCCCTGCAACCCCACGCGAGGACGCGGGGATACCTACAGACAGTGCCAGGCAATTCCCAAAAACCCGGATTCCGGGAAGGCTGCGCTCATTTGGAATGACTAAATGGCTGGACTACCCTGGGCTGTAATGCAACAAAATAAATTGAGATCCAACAATCAGAGGGAGGGGAAGGAAACCAAGGTCAAGAAGGAATGGAGAGAAAGAAAGAAAGAAAATTACTGTAATATCTTACCTTTACTGCTAGGATTTTCCCACTAGGGACGTGAAATGCCCTGCATGAGGGAAAAAATTAAATAACTTGAGATCACATAAAATTACCTCTATACATATGTGCAACATGTACACACTAATTTCACAGAAAAATGACTCGGAGCTAATACGTTGTACGTTAAACCAATTTCATAGAGCGTTTCGAAAGAAAGGCTGATGAAAACAATCAATCAGAAGAGTATACTTACATCGAACCCAGTTAGGAGGCTCTTACACCCGCACGGTTTGTATCAATTCTACACACTGAAGACTTTCGTACACATAACAGCAAACTCGTGGGTATGAATTTATTCACTTTCACATTTGCTTTCAATGAAATAAATGGTTTTTATCTATTTCTTTTATCTATTATTCAGAATTTTCATGTAAAACATGGTTTATCACGCGAGTTGGCCGGTCCTGCGGATATTTCCAGGGGCAGGACAGTAAGCTACACAGCTGTGTCAATTAAAGTCCAACAGGTAACGAGGGATTCTTCATCATAACCTACAGACCCACAGAAAATATCAGCGAAACAAACTTTCCGCATTTGTATTTAAGATTAGCATGTGTGTGTGTCCATATAAGGTTCGAAATCATTATAGTTCATTCTCACATGTACCCAAAAATAATTTCCCACAATATTCCAAGAGCAGTATGTCTTAATTTCAGGTAAAAAAAAAATCTAATTGGCTATGTAACAATGACTTGTGTATTCCTAACCACGAACTCATAAGAAAATAAAAAGGTAGGTGAAAATAAAAAGTCTACTAAAAATCCGATGTAATTTTGCATAAAAACAAAACCATTAAAGGTTTTCCTCTTCACTAGTTTCATTGTCTCATACTGATTTATGACACCATGCACGGTAATGTCATATCTGTGGCACTAAATTTAAAGAATTACAATATTTTACCACTATATACCTCTAGCAATTATTACTGAAGAAAAGCTTTTTTTTTTTTTTTTTTTTTTTTTTGCATGCAAACTCACATATAGCACAGGGTGAGACTGTTGTTTAATCTTATTTATAACCCTGAGTGCTCATATAATTTCTGTTAATTAAGCTTGGAAGCTTCACCTGAATTTACAAGTCATGGATAAACATTTACGTCACAGAGCGGCATTCGGTTCTAGGAACAAACACGGTTCAAAAAGGCATAGCAAAAAAATCAGTGTGTTAACACGTGAAAAAAAAAAAGCAAAATCAGCGGCCGCTCCGCCAGGCTGGTCGCTGAGCGCGTAATCGATGAACGCAAGGAAATGAACTCTGCCGGGAGTATGGATGAATCAACGGTGGCTCAACACGATGGGCTTCAGATCGGCAGAAATGATAAGAAAACGAACAGGTTGAGATAGCATGCTTAACGTCTGGTAGCTGAACATGGACTGTGCCGGGCACTTTGGCAACTTAATTAGCTTGTCAAGAAAGCCGATCTTTTTTCCATAAGAGAGATCTCCTGTTTCCAAGTGAATTAAAAGGGAAGACTTGATTATTTAATTATGATGCACGCTAATTCATCCGTGGAAGTTCGGGTTAAATTTCCAGCAGAGGGCAGATACCTGGTTTGGTTTACAGAGCACTGACAGGACCAATTTAACATTTAATTATCGCTGAGAATTGGATCACAAAGGAGATACCGTGCCCATGGGTATGGCATGGCCAGTGGTTTTGCAAACGGCCTGCTACCTGGGAGGAAAGGAATTTGTTTACTCCGGCTGAGCCGGCATCTCCATTGTCCTGACCTTCCCCAACACAATAACTGTAAAGTGATTAATGGAGTTTGAATGGGAGCTTTGGTTACACCAAAAGACAACCGTACACCTCTGGAGTGGTTTAATTAACAGCTAACACTTCAAATTAGCCTGTAGTTGCTACAGTAATTACCCGTTCCAATGAGTGTTGGAAAACGGGTTTGTTAGATATTACGTGGAACTGTAAGTTGGAATCGATCATTTCGGTTCCAGTCAGCACGGCTAAAGCCTGAAGACTTCGAAACTTTATGCAGCTTCAGGAGGCACAAAAAAAAAAAAAAATCCCATAGAATAACGTGCATGGCGTGAAGAAAAACGTACTTTTTGTGCATATTGCACCCATCAGTAAGTCTATGGATGTCTACAAAGAGATTAAACTAACATACATACTCTATGGGAAGTCTCATCTCAAGGGTCAACTCACAGGCTTCAGCGTCACCTCCAAAAGTCAGTCAAGAACCTCATCGCTGTAAAGCCAGGTCATCAGATGAAGCAAAGTGGCAAAACACAAAAGGTACGATGTTTGCAAAATTTTGTTCCTTGCAGAAACCAGCTCTGGGAGAACAAGTTCATTCTCCTGCTCTTTTTTGTTGGGGTTGGGTTTTGGTTTGCTTTTGATCCCCTGCAAAAGCTCCACCAGATGACTGAGAACAGGCGACTAGACATTGTTCAGGAGAAATCAAAGAGACAGTCCTACACCAGAGAGCACCAACTTCTGCCATCAGAAGTTCAAAAAGTAATTTTGAAGACTTGACGCCAGTGTCAACTATTAAAAAATAGAAAAGTTATTATTTAATATTTTGTTGCAAATTTGCCAACTGCGGGAAGCGGGTTCCGATGGGCATTGCCCCCTCCTGCTCTGCCTCTTAGTTACCTTGAGAGTTTATAAGACTAACGCCGTGGCGTGGACTGCTCTTTTCACCTTCTAAAGAAGCAGCTCCTAACAGACATTGGGAAAATAAAGAATATTTTCTTAGGCAGGGCGTGATCCAGATACTATTCAAGTCAGTTGGAGAATTACATCTATCATGAACTTGATGTTTTATTATCAGTCCAAACTAACAGAGATGCCATGAGATTAATAACCATCATAAGAACACCTTTCTGCAAAACAAAAAAAAATTTTTAAAGTATATATTTAAAAATATTGACCAAGTGTTTATTAAAGCAGTAGAAAAATAAACAGCAATTGGGTGATTCATCTGGTGCCCAACTTCTGCACATGAAGGGACTTCATGGCACTTGGTTGAGTAACCCGTTAATAATCGCCAGATGAAGAGAGAGGCGGTGAGCAATACATGGAAAGACGTGCACCCCTAATACCAGCAGCACCTGGTGCAGGGACCAAGTTAAGAGACTGTTGTTGAATTAAAACTAAGTTTTCATAACTCAGGCTGATAACTCTCTATATAATTTTTTTACAGATTTCAGCAAAAAAGGAAGAAAACTCCAGGGAGGATGGAGAAAAGAAAATACCAACTTTCAGATCTCCTCTGAAAAAAATTATTCCAGCAAGAGCTGTGGTGTGGTAGAGAGCAGTGCAGGAGCTCTGAGGAAGAGGGCAAACCAGAGGAATGTGGAAGCTAGACAGGGAGAAAGCGTCCCCTGCCCCGGCGCAGGGCCAACGCGAGAGGGAGGACGCAGCCGACGGTCTCCCAGCGAACACGCACCAGCACGTGACGCAGAGAGGTCGGCTTAAAGCTGCCGCACGCTGCGGGAGAAAAGCTCAGGCAGGCTTCAACCACCGCGTGGTTTGGAACGTTCCCACTGGGGAAAAGAAATTTAAATCTCTCCCTTCGCGTTCCCGCTGGAGTTCATCACTCTGAGCCCCCCACATCCATCACAACGAACAGCTCCTAAGCAAGGCTGGCACAGTCATGCCAAATATTTTATTAACCTTGACTATCAACCACACCCCCAGACGCTCAAAGCCCTGAAGGGACCCGTGCGAGCCGAGTCCTTTAGCATAACTTTGTCTCCTCTGCTCTGAAAAGCGAGTGTCCCTCGGGGAGCGCCGCGGCAGAAGCTGGGTTATTCTGGGGAATAAGAAAGCCGGTGTGAGAGCAAGCGTGCGCTCTGCTTCAACAAAGCCCTCCAGCTAAGCTGGAAAAAACTTCTGATGGACTGCGGAGTACGGCGTGCGCATCCCTTGTGTTCCAGAAAATAAAAATCAATATCACGGAAAAGCAGAATAGGGCTTTGGGGCAACTGCCAGCTCCTCGGCATCTCTCTCCCCGTATGTAAGAAGTGCTTCTAGAAGGAAAGCAAACTAAAAAATGAAAGCGTCAGAAGCAGCTCCTCTCTGTTTTAAAAAGGGGAAAAAAAAAACCAGTAGCCAAATTTCACATTGCCTGCTTTGTTCTTCCTGAGGTCTACTGCAAAGAAAACCAGAGAGGAAGCTTAAGATGCTCTGGCTCAAACCTCTTTCTGGAAGAAACCACAG